TTGGCACCAGTACGTTTCTTCTTAGTAAGAAATATTAATTCCTACGCGATCCCATTAAAAGTGAATAAGAAAGATTATATGAAAACATGGAGGTTGGGGTCATTATACTTCTTTAGACTGAATATCATATTTAGAGAATATCCTAAATTGCTTTCTGTGAAGATGAGGACATTCTTATACCTTTATTTCTTTCTATCTCTTTCAATTTCTGATTTTGTTACGTTATTTTTGGGTTTTAATTTATATTTTTCCCCATCATAATTCTTACAGACTTTGAACCTTATTTCCTTGTTTAAATTAATATGCACTTCATGCACTTCCATCCTTTAACATGACTTCTCTGTTTCTGAGGTTTTTACTTTGTTTTCTCTTTTGGTTGGCTAAGTTTCATGATCACGTAGCCGGTCCCTCTTCCTTCCAGAAGGACTCATCAGATCTCTTATGGATGAGACTATTTGCCTGGGGCATTTATAATTGGAACACAAAGTACCTGAGTATAAAAATTGGAGAGCAAGTATTTTTTCCCTTAGTTTTTATAGAGATTGTTGAATATCCTGAGAAGTCTTTTTAGCTCCCCTTTCTACTTCTGCTTGAAATTCCTAGGAATCTTTATCCCAGTAATTTCTCAATGTTGACCCTTAGCTAACATGCATTATTATTATTATTATTATTATTATTATTATTTGAAAATACAAGTCTAAGGAACACTTCTGTTATTTTATCTTTTAGTATTTTGTGTTTTATTAATTCTATTATTTCCTGATATACATTCTACATTTATCTTTTCCTTATGTTTCTTCCCCTCTCAACTACTACCCCTCCATGTCCCTGTTTCTGTGTAAAACTCTTTGATTCTTAGTAACTAATCTCATAATAACTAGTGAATCATCTCCTCTTTGAATGGGGAGAGTTCTGTCTTGTCACACGGTGTGAAGAAGAAGTTAGTGTTGGATTAACTCCAATAAAATGGAGCATGGATTAAGTGCTCTGGGGCACTCTGCATCTTGAGTTCAGATTTAATCTCTGGAACAGTGGTTGTCACATTTTTTTTCTGTAGTATCAGTATATATTTTAGGTGTTACAATCCATAGTGTTTCTGCTGTTACAGCACAAAATTAGCCAAGGAACATATGTCAATATGAGGGCACGACCATGTTCCAATAACATTTAATTTACAAAATCAGTTGGTGGGTTGTATTGGACACGTGGGTAGTAGTTTGTTGACCCCTGCTCTCAGCTATCTGTTGCTGCATTGTAGATAGGAGGCCCTTACCAGATAATGATGAGGCCAGCTCATGCAGCTCCTACCTACAGGTGGAGGGCAGTAGATGGTAGCTTGTTGCCAAGCTGACTCTCACAGGAATGGGTGCTGCTAACGTGGCAGGGGCTGTGCAGTTACTTGATTTTGATGATCCCGCTGCCTACATGACCTGTAGAATCCCGACACTTCATCACCCACTATTTTCCTTCCTTCCTGGGCATTCCTGCTTCGTTTCTTTACCTACTTCGAGATGTAGCAACAGTAATACATTTTTGGTAATGGTCAATTACATTTTTTAATCTATGTTTAATGGATTACTTTTATGAACTAAGTTCTTCAGGCAAGCTTTGGAACTTTGATCTTTTGGAACTGAGTCTATTTGAAAGATAAAAACATTACATTTCAAAAAAGCCAAGTCTTGAAAATTTGAAATTAATTTGCCTTCCAAAATGTAGTCTCATATACTAATTCCTTATAAATCCATTCAGAAACTCAATTTATGTCTTTAGTTTTGGCTAATATGCAGTCTTTATATATGAAAGAAATGCCTCTGACTCAGTAAGTATAGGGCCTTGGAGTGAAAAACAAACAGAAACAAACAAATGTGTAATAATACAAAATATTTGTAGTTATTATACAATATTATTCTGTCATACTTCACTCAGTTCATTTATTTGACATTTATTTGAGAATGTGAGATTGGTAAAATAAAGTAATTCTCCAGACAGAGCTTAACCCTAGTGAAGAAGAGGTATACATTTTTTCCCCTGAGACTCAAATGTTATTGTGGAAATTTCAACATTAACTGCAACCACTCCATATTTTCCTACAGCCATCTAAGACAAGAGCAGCAGGAGGGAGAGGGTAAGAAACAGAGTGAGAAAAGAGAGGGTAAATTATTTTACTTGTAACATCATTAATGTACTATATGATCACCTTTTTTTTTTTTTGCTTATAATAGAAAAGGAACTCTAAATGCATGCAAACACATATTTAACATCCCTTTTTAAAATATTTATAAAATTATCTAGGATTATTGCATTATACAACCTGTATATATAGTTAAGTATATCTTAGGCATTTAAAATATTAACATCACGTTTAAATTTTGTTTACTTTAGACATTGATTTCTTTTCATACGAAACATGAACTTTGGGTAGTCTGATAGGAATTTTTAAATGTCAGCTTTGCCAAAAGATATACTGTGTAAATTCGTATGATTATTCATTGGATATATAAAACATGCAACAGTGTCTGAATATGTTACTTTTCATTTAAATTTTTTTTCCTTGCGAAGAATAGAAATGTATAGAAGAAATGCAACAATTCAGAGATAACTAATTTGGGGAAGGCTCATTGAGCAACACTATCTTTTAGATTTTTTCTTTATGAAATGATGTTTTGACTATAATAGTATCTCTAAACTTCAGCACATTTCTTACCTTTCTTTTTGTATAGAAAAAAGCAAAAGGAACAACAGACCACTCTTTACTGAGGAAACTAAGTTAAAAGTGATATAATCACTAGAAGGTACACAAGTAAGTAAGAGTCAGGACATAATTCCAAGTTTGTCAGATTAAAACAAATGCTCTTATCCATGTACCAGTAATTATGCCAACAGTTTATCATTAGATGATTCAGTAAATGTAGACCTGTAGATAATCATGTCTCACAAATCACAATTTCCTATACGTCAGGTTGTTTTCTTCCAGCAAAAATTATTTGGAAAATTAGCTTATTTCAGTTTTTTAATGGTTATATTTATTCACTTATTCAGCTAATATTTACTGTGCTCTTGGAGGAAATAATGCAAATTAAACAGACACAAGCCCTAAGCTCATGAAACTATTCCCAAATTCCAAAATGCCATGGTGATGGCAGTATTTTTCTTGAGTTTTCTGAGAGAATGTTCAGACAAATAAGAATTTTTACCACTTCCTGCATGTGGTTATGCAGTTCCTTGTCTGGTGTGGCCTTTCTCCATTTTTGCCCAACTCTAAGTTCCCTTTTATCCAACATTCCTGGTCTCTCCTGTTGTAATGATGTTGAGGGTATTTAAATTGTGTGGTATGGTGTAGTTATGTGGGATGTGCCTTTCTCTCTATCAGACATAAGCTCCTTAGAAGCCAATATTGTATGTTTCATTAATGTTTGTATCTGATGGGGTTCAGAGCAGGTTGCCCCAAGATTGCCCCTCTGCCATGGTGATTATTTTGGGCTGAAAACAATCAAAGCCCAAAAGACTCAAGAACCTTTGAACTGCCCACCTTACTGCCTAAAATAATTTAAGATAGAAGTCCAATCCCAGAAAGGAGCTACCACAATAAATAACTATAGTAAAGTATTAGGTGTGGTAGACAGGAAGAAACCCAACAAGGTCCATTTGATCAAAGCTCTCTCTGTGTATCATTGTCTTTCATGGCCTTTTAAACATTTGTTTACCAAACATTAACTCTTTTTTTTCTCTTCCTGTGAATTACCTTACTTTCCCTTGAAACTTGAGGTCCCTACTTTCTTCTTCTTAGCCCAGAATGATATGTGTGTGTGTGTGTGTGTGTGTGTATATATACACACACACATACACCTCACCTTGCCTTGCTGTCTTTGGAAATCTTCATACTTATATGGACTCCCCATGCAAGTAATAAATTGTATTTTCTCCTGTTAATCTGCCTTATATCATTTTAATTAACAGCCAAAAGAACTAAGAGGGGAAAGAGGGAAAATTTCCCCTCCTCCAATATGTCCCTTAATGCTCCATCACAGTATCAAATGAGTTCATGGATGATTATGTGAACAGAAGAAATTCTACATAAGACAAACTTTCAGGGATGGCAAGCAATTGTGTCTGTAATTCTATAAATAATAAAATAAGGGATGTACTTTAGTCAGAGAGGGGGAAAGGAAGAATTAAGAAAAAAGAGTCACAAAATTTTAATTACGAATGAACAGAGTATACATTATGCATTGGAGTTGATCTGAGATCAAAGTAGATTTTTGCAAGAAGGGAAAAAAAAAGTTAGCCAGTAGAAAATATGTGTGAAGCTCTTGTGTACTTTACAGTTCTTACACTTCTGGAAATATTCAGCTCTGAAAGGTCAAGGACAATCAGACGTTTTATACTGTCCACTGAAATAAAATCACACAACGTGAGAGTTGTGAGTTAAGTTTCATCTGGGGCAAAATGAGGACTATAGCCAGGGAGTCAGCATCTCAGATGGCTCTGAGGAACTGCTCCAAAGAGGCAGTGGGGAACTCAGTATTATATATGATTTTAGTGAAGGGGGTATGTGATGTCAAACACACATTTAGGCAGGGGCCTGCTGCTAGTCAGAAAGAGCAGATGTCAATGTTAATGATTTTAGTGCTTTTCTAGATATGAGGAGACAGAAGAATTAGGGCTCATAAAATCTTCTGAAAATAGCTCACTATCTGAAGGCCTGTTCTGCCAGTTTTCCCAGAGCACAGAGCGCCCCATTCCTGATCTCCACCCTGAACTCCTTTCAGGGAGTGTTGGAGGTCAGTGGCTGCAGCAGCTCATGATTTAATCCAAGCAGAGTTAGATGGCAAGTGCTAACATGATCCAATCCTCATAGAGGCAGATGGCAAATGCCAATTTTTAGTTGGCAATACTCTGGAGGAAGAGTTTGCATCACAAAAATTAATAAGAAGAGGTCTTGGGGATTTTAAATATTTTCATCATTAAATCTTACTGTTCTTCAACTTAAAATTTTACAGGTACCTACAGAATATTGGATATACAGATCCAGAATCCATAAGACTTTATCACCTTAAATCAAGGATTTATTTGATAGCCTCTTCTGCCTTTTATTTATAACATATTTTTAAAAGAATTAAGAAATTTGCCAAAAGAGAATTAAAAAAATAATCCTACCTGCACTTTCCAATGCCTAAGAACAGCAAGGTGGTAAAAAGAGAATTAGACGATGAGGTTATTGAGTCTGTCAAAGACCTTCTTTCCAATGAAGACTCAGCTGATGATGCTTTTAAGAAGAGTGAACTAATTGTTGACGTCCAAGAAGAGAAAGATACAGATGCTGAGGAAGGATCTGAAGTTGAAGATGAAAGGCCAGCTTGGAACAGTAAGCTACAGTACATCCTGGCCCAGGTTGGATTTTCTGTAGGATTAGGGAACGTGTGGCGATTCCCATACCTCTGTCAGAAGAATGGGGGTGGTAAGTTTTTGCTTTCTGTTGTTTTTTTTTTTTTAAGTGACACATTGCTGAGTAAATTGCAGTTGATTACCTCAAATAGCTCCTGTTGTTACTACAGTGTCATTATTTTAGAAGCTATGAATTCCATTGTAAAACTAGGGAGACGCTTTGGTTGGAAGTGAGCTCAGCTCTGTTTTCAGTTTAGGTTTCCATCGGAGCAGGTGGCTTACTATGAACACTCAAGGACTGCTTAAGGTAATAAATTCTCAATTCTGTGGATGCTATTAAACATCCCTAAATTACTGACTTTTCTAACCAATGTTGCATCCCTTGTGCCTGTCAGTTACTCTCTTTGGAGGAAATCCTAAAGTTTAAAGACATAAAGATACAAGACAACATTGGTGAACAAGACAGAGAATTTTCTGTCCACAGTTTATTAACTCTGAATTTTAAGTTGTTTCACGCTTCAAAAAAAGCAAACATTGTGTATAATTTAGAACGATTATAGTCTTCAAATGCTGACCAGAACTTTGTAGATCCAAGTAGAAGGGATTTAACCAGATAATTAATATAATGCTAGACAGTCTTCATCCTTAGATATTAGCATCCTTAAGAGGCTATAAAGAAATGAGCATTCTTAATTTTAAACAAAATTATCTGTATCAGCATGATATTTAGCTTCTTGTATTTGGACGTGTAATTTAATTACCAAGGGCTCTTCAGCAAAAATTGTCTTAAAAATTAAGAAAAAAATATACAAAGGAATAGATGGTACACATAGAATACACACTCTAGAGTACACAGAAATTAAACTGAATATGAAGCTAACTAACATTTGGGTTGTTACCCTAAAAATTTTTAATATTGAACTTTTATCTTTACCATTACTACCATTATTTTATACACACACACACACACACACACACACACACACACGGAAGCTGTTAAAATAACTATAGTTAAAAACCAAATATTCTGTAAGCAACATTCAGCACACAAAGGATAGAAAGAATATTTTCACATTTTATTACAGTTTATGATAGTTTTGCTGACTGAACAAAAACATGGTTTTATTTTTGATGTAGTTTTAACATGTAAATCAAATGAAATAATATAACCATTCATATGTGAAATGGTTTCCTCTTGGTCACTAAGAGATAAAAAGCTAAGGTGTTATAGTAACAAAATATGTTTAAGATCTTGCTTAATTAATTCACCCAGGGTCAAAACAACAAGTGTGCGCAAAAGTAGCCTGTTTGACAGACCTACCTAAAAGGTGAGAATCAACACATGACCTTGGTGGCGTACTACACAGCGCTCCCCTGGAACTGTGAGCTCCTTACCTACTCTATAACATCGCAGATGAATTACTTATCAGATCAGCTACAAGTAGCTATGTACTACCCTACTTTTTGCTTCTCAGAAGTCATCCCATTTGCAAGACCGGCAAAAGATGAATTCTGATTTTCAGACCTTTCCCTTTATAAGCCTTACCAGCCATACTCTTCAGAAAGAAGGCTGTTTTGGCTGAAAAGTCAGGTTGCTTTCCATTTTATATTTTTGTCCTGGTGAAGAGCTCTAAAGGAGTTCGTATTTAGTAATTAGTTGTTAGCAAAAATGACTACTCCTTATTTTCATATGTAAAGAGAGTCAAAATGTCCTTCCTAGTATTGTTTCCTTTCTTCTAATTACAAATACTCGAGAACAATATTATACAACACCAGTGGACTGCATGGTTGCAAGATGGCTCTTGGAGCACAAGGGGTGGTTCTCAGCATGCAGTATAGCATTGAGCTTTCCAGGTGTTTGACTGGCATCTTCTAGGTGTTTGAAAAAATTAAAAATTTTAAGGAATCAATTATTTTTACAAAAAATGAAGTTACTTTACCCTTTCAGTAAAATGACACCAAAACTATTCATTGATACCCTTACTTTTTTCATAATTATTTTTTCATCAGAAACTCTTTGTAGCAGTCAAATTCAGATTTCAAATACTAGAAAACTTAAAGTAATGAAATTACATTTTCTTTAACGTCCTGTATAATTATATGATGTAGAAATTAAAATATCACCTTTCATAAGGTAGTCAGCATTAGTGTATTCTCTACTGTGACTGTTGAAAATATAATCTATTTTATTTGTTCTTGTCTCTGTAGGTGCCTATCTTTTGCCATATTTAATACTGCTTCTGGTAATAGGTATCCCCCTTTTTTTCCTGGAACTTTCTGTGGGTCAAAGAATTCGGCGAGGAAGCATTGGTGTGTGGAATTACATAAGCCCCAAACTGGGAGGGATTGGATTTGCAAGTTGTGTAGTAAGTTTCCTGGTATGGTATATGCCATATAATTTTCACATGGTTTGTAATTGTATAGTTTGCATTTGAATGAAATCTTTGTGTATTTCTATTCAACTCTTTAATAATGTTTAAAAAAAACATTTGGACCTTGCACTAATACACAAAACAAGCTGTAAATATTAATGTAATTCAATATCTTAAGGCCTATGAGAGTCATCATTTTAGACAGAGAATGTGTTTTAAATAAAAATAGAATGAAGAGGATTTTTTAAAGTATTAAATGGGGTTTTATGCGTTTCATCTCAATTGTTTCAGAGGAAGGGGCATGAGAGGTTTCATGTAATCACATTATTTTATTTTGCAGGTGTGCTTTTTTGTGGCTCTCTACTACAATGTCATCATTGGCTGGAGTTTGTTTTATTTTTCTCAGTCTTTTCAGCAACCTCTACCTTGGGATCAGTGTCCTTTGGTGAAAAATGCTTCACACACATGTAAGATGTGTACCTGGTAGTGTTTTTTGTATTTAAAGATCATAAAGTTGGTAAAGGCAGGAGCTTTCAAGATGTTTTCTTTTTAAAAATAATATGGAAAAGTCTTCCAAAATTATTTTCACAACAAACTTTCCTTGACATATTCAAAAAGATAGAAGCTTGGTTTGATTTAACTAGCTCTTTCCAAGATATTGTGCTCCATGGACATTAGGGTTAAAATTTATAAGCCTTCATTGTTAACTTTGACAATATTTTATTTCTTACACCTTTCTTGATGCCTTACATTTTCATTAAAATAAAAGAGAACAAAAGGAAGAATGTGGATTGAAGGAATTGTTTTTAAGTCTTCAGTTCTATTGTTCTTTAGTTTTCTTATCATTTATTTTTATATGTTAGAATATAAAGAACAATTCCCTAGCAATGTCCAGTAAATATAAAACACAACTCACATATGTAATCTAAAACATTCTAGTAGCTCTATTTACAGGAGGTAAAAAGAAACAGGTGAAATATTTTACTTAACCCAATATATCAAAAATATTAACATTTCAACATATAGTTAATATAAAATGAGTAATGTAATAGTTCACATTTTTCTCATATGGTCTCTAAAAGCCCCTCTGTATTTTATATTTATAGCACTTGTCACTTTGGACCAGCTCCATTTCAAAAATCACATATGGCCAGAAGCTAGCATTGTTGACATCTCTGCCCCCAGGAAGTCAATCAGATAATTTTGGAGGCAGAAGGGGCCATAAACCTGATACATTTTAATTACTTTGATAAAAAGCTCGCCTATTCCTATTTTAGAAATGTGTAATAAGACACATTAAAGAAGATACATGCCTGTTGAATTTTTTTCGCGTTTTTGCAGAGTTAAGGTTTCACTGTGTGTTTAAATTCTTCTATAGAATAGTAGTACTTTTCTAGAAAGTGTTAAGAATTGATTTACAGGCTTACTGGGGAAAAAAAATGGTGCCATTGGTCTTTATAGCCTGAAGTGACTGTGTTACTTGTCTTTCTACAGTTGTAGAGCCGGAATGTGAAAAAAGTTCCGCCACCACCTATTACTGGTACAGAGAAGCACTGAATATTTCCAGTTCCATCTCTGAAAGCGGGGGCTTAAACTGGAAGATGACCATCTGCCTGCTGGTTGCCTGGGTTGTGGTGTGCTTGGCTATGATCAAAGGCATTCAGTCTTCTGGAAAAGTTAGTATGTCAGAGCCCCTTCTGATTCTGCTGATCATCACGCGTGGGCACTGCGCCCCCTGCAGCTCGGCTATAGTCTGTGTGGGCAAGCTGCCAGCAGTGCCTTGTTCTAGGCAGTTAAACTAAAGATTGTTAAAAAGTGAAGCTTTAAAAAATGTGTTTAAATCAAGGAAAGGACATAAAGATATAAGTGTTTTATAGTGAAATCTAAAGTCATTTATAATCTTTCCTTCTCTTTCATCAAGATCTTCTTTCACATTTTTTGTCAATACCTAAAAGTCCTTTATTTTTGCTATTTATTCAGCTGACCCTAATGTTTTAGTTCTTTGACTAGTTTCAATCATGGAAATTGGAAAAAGTGGTAGAATAAAGAATGTTTATTTGTGCTACATCAGTTATTTTTCTCTGCTGTAGGTGCTCTAAGGAGTAGTTGCATAAAAGATTTAAAAATAGTCTAGTGTGGAGTGTTTCTAAAAGATCTGAACATTAGGTAGTTAGGATAATGTCAACAAGAACTCAGAGTAATGTAAAAGACTTAAGGGCATGCCTGCCAGGGCAAATGGAAAATTTTATAAGGCTGTGGTTGAAAAAAACAGTAAGTGATTTCTAGATACCCTAGGAAGACAATCAGATAATTTTTTAAAAGGATGCATTAGTAAAGTAATTATTATTCACTGTTTTGCTTCCACATTTCTTTTTTTTTTTTTTGCCATTATTATCGTCACTCTAAAGCTCTCTATATCTCTTGTCTGGACCATTAGCAAGAATTAATTTTTGTTCTTCTCTCTGTCCTTTAATAACCCATCTCTACTGTTTTTTTTTTCCCCAAAGCACAAATCTGATCATATATCTTTCTTAGGCTAGTATATTACCACTTACTATCATATACTAGTAGTAAGAGTGGAATAATGGTAGTAGTGTTACCCCAAAAGGTAAAGACCCCGGTTCTTGTCATACCCATAAGACAAGTTTACCGTCGGAATATGCTACGTTGTGTAGTGAAAGATTTTTTAAAAATTATTTTAAAAAGGCAAAGTACACCTCCAAGAACAGGAGGTGGGCTGATCCAAGGGAGGAAAAGTGGCAGTTTTTGTTTCCCCTTTCTCTCAAACCCTCACTTAGAAGTGGTCTCTTGAGTGGTTGACGGCTCTTGTCCCTGGTCCCTGGAATGCCTAGTCACGTTTGGCCTCTTCGTGTATGTCCTTACCCATGGTATACATAGGAAAACCCTTGGAGGGGTGAAGGGGAGGGCCAAACTGCAATGTTAATTATAATACAATGAGCACTGGGTTGTGTCCGTTCAAGTCCTTCCTGCTGTGGCGCAGTCGTGGCTGTCGGGCTCTAACCGGTTTCTTGCTGGTGCTCATTTAGAAGTGAAGTCCATTTATGCTGCAGGCGGGCACAACGCCATCTTCCGCACCATCCTCCCTCTCCTCCACCTGTCTGCCCGGTGCCCCCACTTATCTAACTACCTAACAGTAGTAGCAGAAGTAGTAGTGGTGGGAATAAATGATGACAGTGACAAAGATGATTCTCACAATGATCAGAGCAAAAACAGTAACGGAAGCCAATGTTTATTTTATGTTTATTTTGCTCTAGGCGCAGTGATAAGTGCTTAATATACTTTATCCCATTTAATTCTAAACAAAACAAAACTCTAAGAAGTAATTGCTAGTCTCAGACTGTTTTACAGATAAAAAACAAGTTTGAGAGAACAGATAACTTGCCCGAAGAATCATGGCTAGTAAGTGCTAATACCCACAGTCAAACCAGCTCTGTCTAAATCTATGGTCCATGTTATTTCCTGCAACATTATAACATCTCTCATTGCGATACATTTTTTTCCCACCACATAGTGATTTCTGTTAGGACATAAGTCTGTTTAATTCATCTTTGCTTCCTTTACTTTATGTTGATTAGAAAGGTTTGAGGATATTTTTAACTTGTAAATCACAGCTGATTTTACATGTACCTTCCTGATGGACCTTCTACACCATTTTTCCTTTGCAGAAATGAATATGGTAGATAACACACCTGAACATCTTTCAGTCTGTTGTGAATATTAATGTAGTCTATGATTAAATAAGTTCAGTTAATTGGCTCAATTTGATGTGTCTTCTACGATGTCAGGGCCCCGCTACAGTCAGGTAATAAATAAAGGAATAGATTCTTAAGCTAAATCTAACCACATTTATATGCTTCCTAAGATATGTCATTTGGTAGAAAGAAAACCAACTGCGGTCAGCTAGAGAAGTCCAAAATTCCTGTGTTCAAGTCTTACTGCCACATTTTATTTCTTCTTGGTCTGAGTATTATCATTTAAAAAAAAAAGCCATCCTTTTCTCACCACAGCATTTGGGATGTTTTTCTTATGTCATGTAATATAACTTTATCTAGAAAAAAATTAATACAACTTATATACTATAAGTACCTTATTTATTTCTTATTATGAGAAGGCTTCAAGGAGAGGGTAGCTTTGATAGAAAGAATTTAATAGGTACAGATGAGGACAAAGCTGTAAGTAATGTGAACAAGATTATGACAGTCTAAATTGTCACAACAACTCCTCATTCTGGAACAATGAGCTAAATATAATAAGAAATTTATTGGAAATAAATGTAAAGCTCTGCCGAACAAAAAAGTCTTTAAATAAACATTCACACAAGTGCAGTACAGAGAAGTATGGTTTAGGGGTAATAAGGTTTAGGGGTAGTTTGTGGGAAAAAAAATTTTAAGAGGATCTAGCAGCTAAGAGAAAAGTCAGCTTGCAGTTTGCTTGGCCAACACACACACACACACACACACACACACACAGAATGTTAATTTGAAACTGCACGAACTAGAAGTGGGTGTGACAGTATCATTCTTTGGTCCAGGTAGGAAAACGTCAGCTGAACCACACCTATGACCCTGGGTTTTACTGAAATCTTTATTCCCTCCTTTGTTACGGAGAAGAGATACCTCAGGCTTCTGAATCACAGTCTTCAAATAGCTGAATGAGAAGAGAAACAAGCCTTATTCTGTGTGTTCACAGAGAACAGAATGATGATCAAATATTGAGGATTATGGAGGGTGGGAGGTGGGGTAAGTCTTCAAAGAAAGGAAGACTTTACAGGAATCAAGCCTGGTGACAATGAAATTAGTGGTAGAGAGCTCAGCACTACTGGAGATGGTCCAACAGGGGTTGTGTGTCCATTTATTAGAGCCTCTGAGAATGGGATGCCTGCCTCAAGGGGGAGGCTAGAAATGAGAAGCACTACGCTTTCCTGTAACTCTGAGGTAATATTTTCTACCAGTCCTACTTTGCCATTATTCCTGCTACTGTGCTGCATTAGCTTGTTCAATCTTCCTATCAGCTAGATGATTTGCATGTTCTTAGACTCACTTTACTGCAAAGTTCAGCTTAGAAAGAATAAATAATTGGCCGGAATTAAGCAACTGATAGGTGGCAGAGCTACAACGAGGCTATGAAGTACCCCAGTGTGGTGTGACTTTTACATACAATTTGTACAGCTTGTGAGGGATGACGCTTTAAGTGTCGGTTGATTGCAGATATTAAAGGATCTACAGACACTGGTAAAATGACAGTTAACTGATGGTGTGAAATATTTGAGGATTTTTAGCAGTTCACTGACACATCAGATCTTTAGAAAGATCATTCTGGTAGAAGTGGGGGTGATGAGTCTCAGAGATGAAGAGGAGAGCTGGCAGGGAAGATCCAGAGACAAAATGAGGAGGAGGCAAAAGGTGACGTGTCACTGAGGATGGAAGCAAAGGGACAGATGTGAGGTTTGGAATCAGGTGGACTTGTTGATCAGTTGGTTATAGAACGTGGAGGAAAGAGACATATTAGGGTGTGCTTGAGTTGTTTAGCCTCTACAAGTACAGGAAGAATCATTTCTTCCCTTCTCTCCTAATTTGAAATTGCATTAAAAATATACGAAGGTACATCATATTTATTGGAAAAAAATCAGAAACCATCCAGATTATTTTAGCATGCAACCTTCATTTTCATTTTTAAAACAAGTTCATTAGTGAAAATCACTTAAGTCACTTTATAAAGGCAGCATATTTGAATTCTGTTTAAAAAAAAAGACAAAAAAAGAGGGTAAGCTATTCCGTGCAAAAGTGAATCCATGCTTCTGGCTAGCCTCAACAACTGAAGAATGATAAAAGGAATAGCTGTAATTCAAGTGAGAGCAAGGCTACGTGAGTAGATGCCTAGTGACAGAATGCTAAAAAAGTTGGCAGGAAGGAAAAAAGTGCTCCATCTGAAAGCATTCTGGTAAAAAGAAGTCAAGAAAAGTGGATGAATGGATGTAATTAAAGAAACTGTTTTGAAGTGATTAAAAATTATACTTCTTTACAACTAATTCCATTAAAATGTAATTTTTTTAGTGAAATATTGGTTCCTAATTATGCTGAGATTTTTATTTGTAATATTTTTTTCTTAGAACGTTTGAATAAAATTATAAAGCCTGAAGAACAACAGAAGTGCAAATGACTGTGTTGATATACCTGCTGTTAGTCGACCGCTGTTACAGGATTCACTATCTCTTACCTGCCAGAGCCACCCTCTGCTCTGGAGGTTTTTTCTCCAGTCTTCCCAGCCTCCCTCCACTCCTCCCCTACAAATACCTTCTATGAGCCAGCAACTGTGTTAGGTGTTTGGGACTTGGCAGTGGACAGGAGAGAAAAGGCCCTTGCCCACACAGAGCTTATATTCCAGTAGGGGAGGCTGAAAATTAACAAGGAAAACACATAAATAAGATCATTTCAACAGTGCTAAGTGCTATCGAAACATAACAATGATATCATGGAAGGTTCATGGGGCCTGGGGAGGGCAGCTGGAGGCATATTGGATGGGAAAGAGGCATAGCCTTATTCTGCATGGTTTGGGAAGACTCGAGAAGGTGAAGAATGAGACAACAAAGAGGAGGAAGTCTTGCGCAGATGAGGGAGATGAGTGACTTGGACCAGGGGCATAGCCCTGCTCTGGCCCGGAAGCTAAAGAGCTTGGTCTCTTGACAGATACCAAGGGCCTGCGGGGCTACAGCCGAGCTGGGAAAAGAGTGGTGGGCCAGGCAGGTAGGCCCACTAGTGTAGGGCTTGGCAGCGCAGAGGGAGAAAGTCTCGTTTCATGCCAACCATATTAGAGATCCCTGGAGTGTGCTGAGGAGGAAACGAGATAACCCAAGTGGTTGTCAGGAAACTAGGAGAATGTTACACAGTGCAGGACCACTTCTTCCTGCTTGACTTTAGCAACTGGATGGTTAGGGGGAGACAGAGATGGGGGGACAGCTTTGGGGGAAATTCAGCAGTTCTCTTCTGGACCCAAAAAGTTCTAGAGACCACATGGAGATGTCAAAGAGGCAGTAACTGTCTGGTTGGGACAATTGCATAACACACATAATCTTAACTATGGAAAAGAATTTAATCGTTAGTGTGTCTCATGTATTTTTATTTCTCTTTCTTTGCAGATCATGTATTTCAGTTCTCTGTTCCCATACGTCGTACTTATATGCTTCCTAATCAGAGCACTCCTTTTAAATGGTTCAATTGATGGCATCCGTCACATGTTTACCCCTAAGGTACGCACTGTATTTCTAATTAGGCTTATGAGCACAAAGGCTTTACGTTTATAGTTAAAATGTTCCCACAGTTAGATTTAAGAGATAATTGCTTCTAACTTATGTTCACTAGACTGGTAAATTATAGCTGTTATGTTAACCAGCCTACTAAAACCAGAGCTTTTAGATATCTACATATATCCACCTCTCTCCAATTTGAAATGTCCCATTTTAGTGCTACAGTAAGTTTTAGTTTTTAAACTTCAAAAATTCCTCTTTTATAATTAATTAACTTCCCATTTTTACACTGATACACTTTAGAACTTTTAAATCTTTACTCTTCCTCCTCTATTTCAGTGATTTTCAAACTTTTTGTGACATGGACCCCTTTGAAAAAAAACTGATAATGGGATCTTCTTACCGGGAAAAAAAAATGAACGTATTAATTTGCTTAGTGTCTCAAGAGGTTGACAGATCACCTAGTATCTCTGGACCCAGATTAAGAACCCTACTCTATCTAAATCGTGTCTCAGACAAATCCAAGACTTCTTATTTTGTTTTGAGGTTTTATATCTTCTAGAATAGTATGTATAGTAGTGCATTTGGGAAGTTCTGTAACTTTTATAAATGCATATACATTTCAGGCAAATCCTCAATAGGTCTCCTAAAAGGCCTGGAACTCAGTCTCTGTCATTCAGCTTGGAATTGACCTCAACACTGAACACATTGAACCTGATTAATAAATTTTTGTGGACCTGTTATATTCATTTGACAGAAAAAAAAAGGTTTGAGGTGTATATATTTTGGTTATCCACTGAAATGAAGTTACACTTCGTATTAGTTTGCTAATACGATCATAGGCAGATACTGAGTTATAAAAATACAACTTCAAAATTAGTTCAGAAATTGAAAGTTACCCAAAGGATGAATGTGTAGCCAAGCATCTTGCTGAGGGACTGGGACACAAGATTTAACCTCCCTGGAATTGTCACTCCTGGCCTCTGCCTTGATACTGTGTAAAAGACGCTTGCGTTCTTTGGGTTCTAGTTCCAACTTGGTGTTCATTCTCTAGTAGCAAAAATGTTGACTTTGTGATCTGATTTTCTTGAATAGTTCAAAAGTCCTGTTTAACATTTAGAGTTAGTAGAACTCCTCAGTGAATAACTGGTTTAGATTTATGAATTTTGGCTATGTTTTAATTTAAATCAGTCTCAAATGGGCCATACTTAATAACCAAAAACATTTATATTTGAAAATTAAAAAGTTTTCTGAGTTTAAAATAACTAGCTTTGGTATGAATTTCTGGAATAGCACGTTTTTCTAAGTTGTGACATAACTTTCAAAATTGATTTACGTATATATTTTAATATTTAAATACTTTGATTTGACACTTTCTCATGGCCCCAATTTTTAAGATTGTAGCACTATTAACATTTTAAACCAGGACTGGGGATGTCTATTAAAGCAGGGTTAATTATTTCTTCACTTCACTTTCCACAAACTATTAAATGGCCAGTGTAGGATGTGATAATTATATAATAACAATAAGAAGTTGTCAGTTACTTTCTAATGTACACTGTAAATGTAAAGGAGAAGTACCTAAGCACAGGAAATATTCCAGGTGAATGGAGGCTTAATTCCTGCAATGGAAGAAATCTGAATATGTCTAGTAAATAGGTATTATCTGCCATCTAGTGGGTAAAGTAGGGATAGACAGTTGAGTGAATTTCAGATCAGTATTAACCACAGGATGGTAATTCAGCAGCAAGGGTCAATAAATAGTATGCATATCCTAGTTAATTGCAAATAAATTATAAATATAACCATGATTATGATTCATGATTACACTGCATACATTTAAGGAATAATCACTAAAATTAATTGAAGAATAAATCCTAATATTTGAGAAATTATGCATTTTGGAACTTAGTCGTGTTCATATTTCAGCTCTATTCCAGAACTGCTGTACAACGTTAGGCAGGCGACTCAACTTTTCTAAGATTCAGATAATAGTAGTAACAACTCCATAGGTGGTTGTGAATATTAAATGAGATAATCCATATAAAGTGTTTATCAGCATGGCTAGCACTATAGTCCATATATGTAAACAAGTATGGAGGCCTTAAAGCGCGGTGGGCACTGTGATCAGCAGTGTGTGTCTTGTTACTCCCACCTTTCAGTTAAAAGTTAAAACTCAGAGTGCAGCAGAGTTACTTGAAACCTATGTTCAGCACAGATTCAGAACTCTAGAACTTTGGTCTTAGAGATGATATATTGAATTTCCTCAATTTTCAAAGAAAAAGTCTTTCAGGAAATTGTTGAATGAATGAACAAGACCCACATGGATATACAAAAAACAAATAGTCCAACTCTACCAAGCTTACAAGTATTATCTGCTTTGATTTTTAGACTTCCACCAGAAAACACAAAAATTAGGGTATTGGTTAAGTATTTAACTTTTATTGCTAATTGATTTATTTTGCTTTGGAAAGAAAACAAAGAATAGGAATAACCGAGGATAGTTCATTTCTCTTTCAAATAGTCCTTTGATGATTTGTCTTAAAGATATTTGAAAATCCCCATATAAGTGGAAAATTTCCATGTAACATCTCCATCTAAAGGCTTGATCGTTATAGTCTTTCCTATTTATAGTCCTTGTTTCATTCCTAAATTAAAAAAAATTTTTTCTACTTAAAAACAGATTATCCCCTCAATTTAAATGACCTTTGGAGCCTAGGTGTCATTATGATATGTTTAAACAATAGAACTAGTTTTATGTAGAGTATTCTGAAACATGACTTTGGGGCTGACTTCTATTATGTTTAATTTTAAACAGCTTGAAATAATGCTGGAGCCCAAGGTTTGGAGAGAAGCTGCCACTCAGGTGTTCTTCGCCTTAGGTCTAGGATTTGGTGGTGTCATTGCCTTTTCAAGCTACAACAAGAGAGACAACAACTGCCACTTTGATGCCGTCCTGGTGTCCTTCATCAATTTTTTTACTTCTGTCCTGGCAACTTTGGTGGTGTTTGCAGTTCTGGGCTTCAAAGCAAACGTCATAAATGAGAAATGCATTGCAGAGTATGGTTATTAATGTCCTTTAGCTTTTGATGGCATCATTATATTGTTTAAAAATCCCCCTCTCAAACCTGTAAGTTTTCATTATTGTCGCTCTGTTTTGCAGAAATTCGGAAATGATCATCAAACTTGTGAAAATGGGCAACATTAGCCAGGATATCATTCCCCATCATGTCAACTTTTCTGCTGTTACTGCGGAAGATTATCATTTAGTTTATGACATCATTCAAAAAGTGAAAGAAGAAGAGTTTCCTGCTCTTCATCTCAATGCCTGTCAAATTGAAGATGAGCTAAATAAAGTTAGTAGCTGATGTTTCAGCAATAAAATAATGATCATTAACCTAAAACAGTCACTACCCGGAAGACTTCTTTTAGGAAAATGACCTATAAAATCCCTGTGGGAGATCCTGCTGTGTCAAAATTCACATTCTTTGTTTCAGAGAACATACTTCCTTACATCAAAAAAGTTTGCTTTACTTTAAAAAGCAGTTTCATTGATTAAGCCACAATAATTTAAAATATGAATATAAATTAGGTGATTTTCATCACAGAAAATGAAATTAGTCTGACAGCTTTCCCAGTATAATATTTAATACAAATTTTGAATTATGAGTGTCATTTACATATTGCATGATCATTTGGACACATGAATGCCATTTGCCCATTTTAATAACTGTGTTCAATAAGTCACGATTAAGTTCTTTTTCTTAGCCACTGTCATATATTTCAATAAACATGAGATAGGTGAACATAAATAAATATCTTTGTATTAGTGGTCACATTCTCTTTGTATTGCATTGCCAAAAAGGAAAATATGGTGAAGTTGGCCGTTAATTACTTGCTTTAAGATAGCTAACTACACTTGAGACTAAACATAAAGAATCATTTGCAGGAAATTACAGATGAAGCCATCATTAATATAAAAATCTGGAATTCTGTAAGGGAAGATTTAATTATTAAATAACCCCTAAATTTCCTTTTTTTGTTTTTAAATTTTCGCCTATCTGTTGTCTTTCTGAAATAACATGATCACCTTAAAGTTTGCTTGGAGGCATAGTTTCTTAGGTGGCAACATAATATTAGCATGTTTATTTCTAGTCACTCCTGGGTATTATTCAGAGTTTCCCGGCCCTTTGTAACTGATGTATATAGAGTTATTATTGCTCTGTATTAATGTGGCTATTTTGTATATCTTACAGGCTGTTCAAGGGACTGGTTTAGCTTTTATTGCCTTTACAGAAGCAATGACACATTTCCCTGCGTCTCCCTTCTGGTCAGTGATGTTCTTCCTCATGCTGGTAAATCTAGGGCTTGGCAGCATGTTTGGAACCATTGAAGGGATCATCACGCCCATTGTGGACACTTTCAAAGTGAGGAAAGAAATTCTCACTGGTGAGTTTTCACATATTTGACTTCTTGAACTGATGCAGGCCATTTTACTCTTAGTGAGTGATGGGAGATGGGAATAGGAAAGTTTATTATTAATATATACTCATTAATGCATATTATTATTAGTTACCTATGGGCTTATGTATATAATATGCAAATTATAGATTTAATATAGATGATATTAATTATCTACTAGCAATCACTTATTATATTACTCTTTATTAGTAGTAATGTCATTATTATGAATTACTGGCACTAGAACAAAGTCATAGAATGTTCATGCATAATTCTGCATTCAAGTCAAATAATTATCAAAAAATTAGTTCAGATCCCATACTCCTTTTCCAAAAAGTGCACAGCTTAAATTGATAAACTGAAATTCAATTCTCATATAAAACAGGAATTGTAGCCTGACAGAAGTTCATATATCTAGGTAAGAAAGATGATAACACAATTTATCAATTTTTGATATAAGTATAGTCAGTTTACAATATGTCAATTTCTGGTGTACAGCATAATGCTTCAGTCATACATGAACATACATATATTCATTTTCATATTCATTTTCGCCATAAGTTACTACAAGATATTGAATATAGTTCCCTGTGCTATACAACACAGTTTAGCAATACTGATGGTTGTTAGTAAATCCAATCTGTAAGCAGTCATTAAAGTTCCAGTTTTGTATTGCATCTTCCTTGCATTTGAGGGATATCAACAATATAAGAGAAATTACAACAGAGATACAGCGATAGAGGAGAGCCTTCTTCTAAAAAGAACAGTACTAATAATTAAAATCAAGTTAGGTAGGTAAGACTTGTATGATGTAATATACTGATAGATAGCGTAGTAGAGACTTTACATGTTATAAGAATTAAGAAGCAGCAAAGGTTATCCAAATATATGAGGGACCTGTCAGGGAAAGAGGTGGAAACTGAATCGGAAAAGCGGAGGTCTTTTCAGGGGTCAGAGGGTGTTAGGAAGCAGACACAACTAGAGATAAAGGGAGCAGTGAGGAAGCCAGCCAGACCAGAGGACCGCAACAGTGTTGGTAAGTGATGCAAAAATACACTGGAAAAAAATAGAAAGATGATCTCGAATGCTGGGCAGTGGTGCACCAGCTCCCCAACGCTCTGTTTTTAGCTCTGAAGGACTTAGTACTTATTTATGTGTAAATACTTTCAAATACCTATATAATATATATTATATATGTGTGTGTGTGTATACCTTTATCACTCACTGTTCTGCGAAGTGCAAAACAATTTCAGCAGTTTGTTAAATATTTACATACAGATATCTTTAACTCAGCTGAACATAAATGAGAAACGTCTTTATCTTTTCCTGAAAGACAATCTCTTCCGGAGTTTCTATTTTATTTACGGCTATCAATACCCGGCCTGACAGGCGAAGTAACAGTCATCTTTGCTGCTTTCCTCATTTTTGCCCCGTATCTCAGCCCTCCTGTGGTAAGAGGGTTTGCAAAAGCAAGGGAAAAGCAAGTTCAGAGGGAGAAACACACATGGGAGAATCTGCTAACTCGCAGTGGAAGACCTGTTAGGTCAGAGTACAGATGACTACGCACTCTTCCCGGGTTACTTCTCTTCCAGGATCATACTTTTATTCAAGTCATATTTTACTTTGATGAAATGTTCCCCCATCACCTCTGTCTCCTCTGATAGTACAGCAGGACTTAAGTAAGGGAATGACTCATTATCTTTTCCTCTCCCATTGTCAGCAAAACTCTTAGTGTCTACACCACCTCCACTATACCTTCTTCGAATCTACCTTATACTGTCATGTAATTAGGAGAGAGAGAGAGGGACACAGCTCTGCTACTTCCATCTTGAGACTTTGATTACAATTTACTGTGACAAGCATTTCAGTATTTTAGTATGTGTTAGGCTCCAAGTAAATGCTACCTTTCCTATTCTATATGATATGTATATAATATTCATTAATGTATGGTGTAACTCATACCACTGGCAGAGCACTTAAGAGATGGAGGAAATGACTTAATTTAGCCCATACTTACTGAGATTCTTAGGGAACCCCCACTGGATGGAACCCAGGGGTGTCTGTTTTCTCCCCTCCTGCACTGCTGTTACCTGCCCTCCTTTCACTTTTGCTCACCTCTGCTAAAAGGTGTTGAGAAACAGAACACAGTCATCTCCTGTTTTTGATGGCTTCTCTACTAAGTGCATGAGAGAATAAAGAGTCCAACAAAAATGTGGGAATATTATCTGGATTCCAGAAATCTCTCTAGGTTTTTATATTAATGGTAGCTGGTTAAAAGTTTCTGCATCTTTCTTAAGTGCTACTGCAGAAACTCCTTTTAGATGGTTCTTAGTTACTTGGAGAATCAGATTACTGGAGCCACATTAATCTCATTATTAATTAAAAATTCAATATTGCTTCCAAAACTATGAAACATTTTTAAAAGTAGAAATGACCTATGAACATCTGCTGCCTAAAAAGGTTACTTTGCTCTCAGTAAAGGGAAGAAGGGTAGAGAAATTTAACATATTTCTCAGTTTTGCCTCATTTGTTATATGTGCTTGGGGAAGAAGTTTCCACAGACTCAGGGAGATGAGTTGAATTACTATCTTACAATGAATTCAGATTAAGTCTGGGGCTAAGTCCTGGTAACTAACTCCCAATGAGTTATATTCCATGGTATCAGTTAAGGTATCCTATTTATATCATTGACAACTTATTAAGGTGGAAACAAACTTATTGTTTGCAATAATAAATTTATAATGAAGTTTAGAAGACCTGGACTCTGAATAGGGCTTAATTTCTTATTTGTTCCTTTTGTCCAGTTATCTGTTGTCTTCTGGCATTCTGTATTGGCCTGATATTTGTGCAGCGCTCTGGAAATTACTTTGTTACCATGTTTGATGATTATTCTGCCACACTGCCTCTGCTAATTGTAGTCATTTTGGAGAATATTGCTGTATCCTTTGTTTATGGCATAGATAAGTAAGTATACTCTCTTTTATGCATTCATTTTTCATCTCTGTTTTGGAAAGACCAGTTTTCACTGTCTATCTCATTTAGAAGAAGAGGGAAATGAATAGACGGAAAATTTCCTTTCCACAAAAATCAAATCTTTTGCAGGCTCTTCTTCATTCAACAATTTTAATGAAGTACTTTTCCTTATTAGGTGATGAGATAGAATGGTGTAGATGGTAATGTAGTCTAGGGTTCTGGAGCTTTGATTTAATTCTCGTTATCAAATAGTTACTTCCAAGATCTAGTGAGTATTGGCTATGTTCCAAGAACCACGTCAAGTTGTTTGGAGCTATTGTTAGGTATATTTCACAGATAAGAAAACACAGGCTTAGTGAGGCACCAAGTGACTTGCTCATCACACACCTGGACAGAGGCAGACCTGGGATTCACAGCCGTTTTCGCTTAACTCTAAAGCCTATGCTTCTAGTTACTTGTTTTACACGAGAACTTTTATTTTCTTGTGCTATATAATGCCTTGCTTTACCAGGCAACGTAATGTTTTATATATCAGGCTCATTTGGGGGAATGGTATGTCCTGCCCTGAGATATGTATGGCATTTGTTATACAGAAACTTCATATTTACATGGAGTCATGACTTGAATTCACTAAATGCCTAAACCTCTGAATTATATACCTGCTTGATGTAAGAAGTAAAACACTTGGTGTGAAGTGAAGCATTAGAGTAATCTCAGAAGAAGAAAGTTTCTGAAGGCTTGGTCCGATATTTTTAAAGTTGTTGTCTCTACTTAACATACAGGGACTAAAGGCGTAAGATCATCGAGCGTATTAGAAGTCTCTGTAAAGTAGGAATGAACGAGGACCAAGAGTGCTCTTAAACAACATAAAGAACATTCTTGGTATTGACTGAGCTTTGTGACAAAGCTAAAAGAATGTTTTCATTACTGTCAAAAGTTCCAGGCAAGGAAAGATAGGGGAACTTACATTCAATGATCATGTACTCATAGTAACAGTAGTAGCAGCTGTATGACATGCATTTGATCTTCCTCCTCATAAAAATACTCTTTGGTAACTACTATCGCCCATATCACAGATGGAAAATTGACCCTACTTGTACAGGAGAATGCAGCGTGTTAATTGTAGAGCTAGGACTTTAAACTTGAATTTCAAAACCAGATATTGCTACACTCTACCAAGCTACCACCACCAACTTCTAGCCTGCACCATGTTGGAATTTGATGTTGTTATCAGGCTGAATCAATAAGATCATAATTTAGATTTCCATTTAGACAGTTTGTCATTTAAAGTAGGCATAGTAGTAAATATCTCTTTTTAGTAGTTTGTGTTCCTAAATAATAATCATTATAATAGTAGGAGGAATAATAATACTATGCATCTATTAAATTCCTACTGTGTGTGAAGTAGTATGCTCCACATACATTGTCTATGAGCCTAACAATAACCTTCTAAGATAGGTACTCTTGTTTTTGAAAATGCCAAAAATTTTCAACAGGACTAAGATTAACATGAAAAGATGACCAAGCTATGATGTGAAACCAAGTCCGTTGGTCTCCAAAACTCCTATTTTGTCTTAGGAGCAAGGTTAGAATTCTCCTGTCTAAAATGCTCTCACTTAATTACTTTCCCCTCCTTTAGATGTCTGTAGCAACTTTATATGCTTCCTGTTCTCTTTCAACAGTGTCATGAGCTCAGTTCTGTTCGGCCTTCTGCCACGTTTACCTACATTTCCAGAGACAGGGTTGAGGGAAAGAAGGCAATCAAAACCTAAACTTTTGAGACAGCAAATTCAAATGCAGAAAAAGAAGTGTTGGAGCATAAGAATTTAGCAATTAGGACGAACTATGAATGAGAGGAAATGAGGAGGAGGAGCCCATGCAGCTGAAAGTGATGGCTGTGTATTTCCCTGAGTCTGCTCTTAAAATGGAAAGAGGAAAAGAACGACTAGAAAGCAAAACCAAATTCCCGTGAACAGTGGCAAGAAGATATCCCCGTGAGCCCCCAAACAGAGAGGCTGGGGACAAGCCACTGGCAACCACAAGACGTATGTGGTGTCGCATCTGTGTGGGAGGCAATGTAGGATGTACAACGGGGCTTAGGACAGTCTCCAGTCAGCCCCAGATCCTCCCTGCAACCTCTGGGCAGCTGACCTGGAGACCCTGACCTACACTGAGAGACATCTTACAGGATCCTTGACCTCATTTCAAGGAATGCAGAGGGATCAAAATGCAATAAGATCATCAGTGCTGGAGCAATATGGTCTCTAAAAACTCTTGAGACAGACAACCCAAAGTTCCCTTCCCAGAGAAAGCTCTGTAAGAGAGTGATGGGCACAAAACCTCAGCTGAGCAGGAAAGAGATAGTAGGGGCAATGAAAAAGAAAGTCCAGGTAAAGATGAGAAGGAGAGCAGAGGTAAATAGAACTGAGAAATTATGAGGCCACTATTTTTTATTACTTTGCAAAAATCGAGAGGTAATGCCCATCCCTCCCTCCTAAAAAAGCAGGAAAATTCATTTCACTTAAATGTAGTCAAAACTTTTATAAAATGTTATTTTTTTAAAAGAGAGGAAAGGGGTAGAGTAATATCCCTGCAGACAACAAAAGCACACAAGCAAAATAGATGGAAAACTAATAATGCTTCAAAATGAGTTGAAACAAATGTTTAAAAATGATAGAAGCCACAAAAGAATAGCATATATCAGTTATTTTAACATTGAAAAACGTTAGACAAAAGGAAGACTTGAAAGCAAAGGTGATAGAATGCAGGAAATAATTGTGAATAAAAAAATACACTTAAGAAATGAAGATCAAATTAAACAGAAAGCAAAACCAATAAGCACAGTGGCTACGTCCACAAGAATTAGAGACTAGAAAGGAGGAATACTTACTAAAATCAAGAAATAACAAAGGATTTAAGAAAATGAACAGAAACAGTACTTAGGCAAAGATGATTCAACATATGTACAATGAGGGCCTCTAAAAACAGTGGCTAGAACAAATGCTAAAAACTGTAATCAAAGAAGCTTTCCTGAAATAACTTGGATGTTGAAAGGGCAAATAATATACTTGAAAAAAATAGACACAAAGGCCAATACCAGGACTTAAGCCTAGGATGTTACTTCAAGACCAAAAAAAAAAGGGGGGGGGGGCATCCAGGCAAAAACAAGACAGAACAAAACAAAGAAAATTACTTGTAGGAAAAAATCTAATAGTCAACAAAATTTTTGTAACACTATTATGTAGTCAGACATGTTTATGAGTCTCAAGGAAAGAATACATGCCACAGATTTTAAATTCACCGAAACTGACACTGAAGTAGTGACCACAGATAAACACTCAGAACCATGCAAGAAATTAGGAGCTATAGTTACCATGATCCCTTTTTGAAGAATCTTCTAGAGAACTAGCTTTAGACAACCAAACAGTCGACAGAAACATGAGTACAAGAACTGGTGGGTGAGCAGTAAATATTTACCTTTAGATAAATACTAAGGAATATAGACTAGTATGTACTGGCTACATGCTCCTGACAGTGTTAACATCATTTGACTAAAAAGGGTGAATTTTATTTCAGGTAAATAATACTTCAAGTATTGACTTAAAAAAACAACACTTAAGTCTAATTAATCATTAGGTCTAAGTACTAAATCACAGGAAATAGAAGGATCTGATGCACTTGTGAAGCAACACTGTGTGTATGCAATCAGAAAAATCCAGACTGTGGGAAATTACAGTGCGGAGTTCTCAGCTGATTGGATAAAAAATTGGAAGAAATGATAAAGAGATGTAGGAGGAACTTAGAGATGAAAAATGGACTTGAGAAACACATCAATCAATTGCAACGTGTGGACCTTCTTTCAATTAAAAAAAAAGACTAAAAAGAAAGGATATTTCAGATAATATAAACACCAATTGGATTGTATGATATTAATTAATTATGGCTAAATAAAAAAAAAGAAATTTTAATGTATTGCAAATATTGTGTTCATGGAGTGGAAAGTCATCAGTTGGAGGAGACTTTCCAGTAATTGACTTAAGAGGACTTTCCCCAAATGAAAATTACAGTAAACTGGTTCCATTTTACTTTATAAATCTTCTCAATTTATAAATCATTTTCCAATATGACTTTCGGATTCAGTATAAAATATCATAAAGTATCATGGTTAACACTCTGTCAAACCATTGATATGATGCACATTTTTGAAGGATGTGTAATTTAGCATATTTTAATATAACTATACTGACTCTGGAATAATTAAATTCTACCTTTCTGTTTAGGTTTATGGAAGACCTAAAAGATATGCTGGGCTTTGCTCCCAACAGATATTACTACTATATGTGGAAATACATTTCTCCTCTAATGCTATTATCGCTGCTAATTGCTAGCGTCGTGAATATGGGATTAAGTCCTCCTGGCTATAACGCATGGATTGAAGATAAGGTAAAGTACAAATAAGGAAGTTAGATTAAAAATATATACAAAATGTCATTTTAGAGGTTTTTGTCTTTTACTTTTGTCACAGTATAGTTTGCTGTTTAATGAATGCTATTGCTTTTATACAAGGATCTTGAGATTTACATCTTCTTTGGCCTCAAATATGTATTTTTTAATATATTGTGGATTTTTTTTAGTACATGAGAAACACTGACTTGTTCCTCATTAAGGTAGCTTTATTTATGTCACCATAGATAAACCAATAATTACTGGTCCTTTGACTCTAAAAAACATACTGACCAAACCACCAGAAATATTTTTTCCTATATAAATTACTAAATCGTATCTGAGAGATTCTATAACAATGAAAATACGCATTGGCCATGTAGACATAATTTAAGTAAATTTTAAAGTAAAGTTTTGTTATAACTGTTTCATATGAGCCATGACTATTTCCATTCTTGTTCTCAAGCTGCATCAGCTGCATAGGAATGCAATCATAATATATATTAGCTGTTATAAAATCAGAATGATTATTTTTCAGAGTTACCATTGACCTTTATTCTATGGTCAATAATTCTATGTGATAGCACTTAAACCTATGACTATTCTACTTAAATAAGTGTATTATCCCTTACTAAAACCCTTGGGGCCAGATGTAGTTTAAAATTTAAATTTCAGATTTAGAAAAGATACTGTGGCACATGTAACAGGTATCTATTGCTTAAAAACAAATGACCCCCAAACTTAATGACTGAAAGCAATGCTGGTTTATTATTTATGAGGGTTTCTGTGGATGAGCTAAACAATTCTTCTCTGTGACTTGCCTGAGCTCACTCCTTCAGTTGATTAAACTTGGAGAGCAGCACTCTTTCTATGTGAGCTTTCATTCTTGGCTTCTTCCAGGCATTATGGATTCAGGGCAGCATTTTGAGACACAGAGCAGAAATTGCAGGGCCTTTAAGACCTAGCACGGGGAGTTCCTTGCTGTCACCTCCACAGTAATGTATTAGTCAAAGTCACAAGACTAGCCCAGATTCTTTGCTTACAAACCTGAGACAAATATGGTATTTTTTTGTGGACCTGTGGCAAAAGATCGATTACCAACAGTTATTTTTTGGCTTTAACAGGCATCTGAGGAATTTCTGAGCTATCCAACCTGGGGAATGGTTGTCTGCATCTCTCTGATGGTCCTGGCAATACTTCCCGTCCCCGTGGTCTTCATCATCCGTCGCTGCAACCTTATAGATGATAGTTCTGGTAATTTAGCATCTGTGACTTATAAGAGAGGAAGGGTCCTGAAGGATCCTGTAAACTTGGAGGGAGATGATGCAAGCCTCATTCATGGAAAGATATCAAGTGAGATGTCCTCTCCAAATTTTGGTAAAAATATTTATCGCAAACAGAGTGGATCTCCAACTCTGGATACTGCTCCCAATGGACGTTATGGAATAGGGTACTTGATGGCAGACATGCCAGATATGCCAGAATCTGATTTGTAGCCGGGGGCAAGAATCTGTAGGTTTTATTTGGTTCATTTTATCAATGAACATTGGCTCTACTGAGAGAAGCGTTAGACTTCACTTACCAGAGGGCGATCTCAGGTGTTCCATGGCTGTGATCTTTGATCCCAGCAGTGTGTGTAAATTCAACTGGAGCATCCCTTTGGATTCTTTGGTTTACATTTGTGTAGAAAGAGTTACAGACGTAGCGTGCAATGACTGAGGTCCATGTCGGTCAGAATTTTTTAAAATACTTTGGGTGTTTTTTCAAGTATTTCTATCTCTAAAAATCACAGGTGTTACCTCAGTTTCTAATAATTTCTGGATGTCATGGTATGGAGCAATTCGAAAATGTTTTGCTTCAAAATGTATAAGTTTGCCTTCAGGGTAACCCCCAAGATTACAGTGAACAATTCTGTAAGTTGGTGCCTCTCAGCACGTTTCCATGAATATACCGTGTAGATAGGCTGTACTTATTTTGGTAGCGTCAATACCTTCTTAGGCAATTAGTTGAAGAAAACTGCAAAATATTTTCTTATGTAATAGCTATATAGAGCAATAGTATCAAAGAATAAGAAGGCACTAATGCTGGGATGAAAGGTGAGATTCAGAGGTGACTGGGGATCATGTGTGTGATGGTTGTGTATTTTGTGTAAAATATGTGTGTGAAAATGATCTAAGACTGAGTCACTCAGCCCTCTCAAGAATGATGCAGATTCTGCATTCTTCTATGCCGTGTGCCTAAAAACCTACTTAATATTTATTGTGGTTTCAAAATTACTCCTAGTATATTTATATAATATACTTGCAATGTACATAGATGTATATTAGTACTCTGAGTACTAATTTGAAAACTTGAAGCAAGATGGCATTTTATTTCATATCTTTCTGTTTTGCTTCTGTTTTATGCAAATATAAATCCTTTTTTTAAGTGATTGTTAAAAATCGTATGGCATTACATTTTAAGCTGCAAATAAACAGTTATAAAATGATGTTTGTTTTCTGCCTTGATTTTTTGTGTGTGTGCCACCTGAGTTGGATTATCTTGCACTTCCATCAGCACTTAGGTATTTCATAATAATTAGTCATCAAATTCCAAGTAGGATTAATAGACCGATTAATGGAGTTACCTCTACTTTGGAGGCAAAGGAAAAAGAGAGTACTATGGTTAGGTGGTGTTCTACCGTAGTCTCACAATTCTTAAACAAATACTTATAGCTTCCCAGAAAACCGCAAGTACAGTTGACTGCTTGCTGGGTCAATATTGTCTCTGAAGTGTGAAAAATTATGATGATTTCTGTGAAACTGTTGTGTATATGAAGTTGGAGGAAGCAGGACTCCACTGAGTGCCATCTAGTTAAAAAGGCTTTTATTTATAACTGTCCTACCACTATAGCAGTCACTTTAAAATAATGATGGATAAAGCAGCAAAATAGGGGAGGTAGTACACACACCTATTGATTTATTTTGGCCAAATATTCTTCATCTGCTGGGGACATATGTTAACAGACCGCATCAGAGCATTTAAAATATAATTCCACTGGTGATGAAAACTTTCAGGGTTTTTTTTGTTTTGTTTTATTTTGTTTTTTGCATAGTCACTAATATATTTTGTATCACTTTAAAGTTAAAAATATTTCGGAGATAGACAATATATGCACACTATGCAAACTCAAAAATCATCAAAACTCAGTGTAAATTAAAGTTTTCTGTCAAAATTTCTCCCAGCCACCCATTTCCCATCCGTGAAGGCAAACACCATTACTGGTTTCTCATGTATCTTTAAGGAGGTGCTCCATGTATACACATCACATGATGACAGCATTCAGTATTCTCTCTTCTGAATCTTACTTATTTCAAGGAATAATTTATTTTGGACAGTATTTCATATGATGGCACATAAATCAGCCTCTTTATTTCAGAAGTTGAGGTCATTTACATTTTATTTATTTTTGTGTTGAAGTAGTATTTTCTTTTGTAAGCTACCCCAGTGTTAGTAAGTTTGTAGCAAATACTTACTTTACCTGCCAGCCTTTAGCTGATCATGATAATACATTGCTAAATAGCATCCCTCTCTACTCCCTCTCTTGTCATGAGGGCTGTTAATCTACAGTTTGAAGATCTGCTTTCCACTAGGGGATAGGTCTCGGCCCTTGTATTCACAGAGTAATTCCAATGCAGGAATCATGAGATGGAAGAGAATTTCAAACAGCTTCTAATGCCCCCATGTGGCAGATGAGGAAACGAGGGCCATGGAAATTAAAGTGAAACGAACAAGGTCTCTCCTTTCTGCTTTTTTCATTCAGACAGTTCTTCAGCTGTTCATTCATTTATTTACCCTTTCTTTTAGGATCTACTCACCAAGAATCTGCTTATTCTCAGTATTAAGACCAGCACCATATTGTAATTAGGATGTAAACTAGTCATTTTCCCCCATTTTCTCTTCTTTGTCTGGGAGACTCGTTACTTGTTTTTTCCCAGACAGTAAAATATTTAATCAATACATGGTAGTAGGAAGTATCCTTTTCTGGACTCCAAAATTTGAGGCTATTTGCTGCTATTTCTGTAAACTCTGGCCTGAATCTGCACCTAGATATGACATAGCCAAAGATCGTCTATCTTCCAGTGGGAAGCAGTCTGGGGAGATGACAGGGGGACTCAGTGTTAGAGTGGAATGCAAGGAGAAGGGAGAAAACATACCACTCCTCTGAGGTGTTAAGAGTCGTAATGAGGAAGCTAGTATCTTGATGAAACAATGTCTTAGGGTGTAATTTTATGAAAGTATATTTGCATTTCCATGTGTTTGTGTTTATGTGCGTTATTTAAGGCAGAAGGTTTTTTTTTTTTTTAGTGAATGTTCAAATGGGTATATGATTCCAGAATGTCTAAGATCAAGACATAGGTGCTTCTTAACTGTAATTATTCTTTTGAGTCACTTGTGACCTTTTAAAAGATATATTTCTAACTTACTGAATCTGAATACTTTTGGGATTGGTTGCAGGATGTGAGTATGTTTTAAAAACTTATTCTAATATGCATTCTTGTTAGGAACCATGGATATTAAGAAGATGAAGAGAAAAAGAAAATATGAATTCTAGTCATCTTCAATCAATAAAACAAATGGTGCAATAATGGTGGTAACTGGGAAGAAACATAGTTTGGGTAGATAAAAGTTGGAATTCAAAAATTTTAAAATTCTTTGAAAGGTAAAATATCTTTCTCCTTTTAAGTTTTTTCTTGGTAGCTGTGTTTTCTGAACACTCCCCAAAGACATTCATATCTATGTCAATTGAATATGAATAAAATCAATACCAATTACAGCAATTACATAGATTTTTCCATACATTTGTGTTATAGTTTTTTTGAGACAAAGTTCTCACAAAAAGGGAAAAATGATAAAACTCTAGAAAACTACTGAAAATTCAAACACGTCCCATAAAGTATTCATTACTGAGCATAGCATATTTTTACCTTCATAACTTAGGACTGATATAAAATGTTTCATATATTATTTTGCCTCAAATGACTGACTCCAAAATTGGCTGATCTTTCGGTTATCCTAATATATATTCCCATCTAAAACATTGCCTTAAGAATGCCTATTATGTGGAGGTAAAAAGAGAAAAGGGATTGGGACGTTATCTCGTCCTAAATTCTTTGGATTCTGCTATAACTTTAACACATCACAGTCCTTCCCAGCACCACCATCAAAACACACACATACACCACCACCACCACCACCACCACCACCAACAACAACAACAAGAAAAAACACCTGATTTATATGAACAGCAAAAGAAACACGCCCTGTGGTGTCAATGAAATACTCCATTTGGTGCCACATGAGTAAAAGAAACCATGCCTTATAAATTAATGATGATATTCCAGCTGCTCTTCCTTTTCTGTTTATTGCCTTTTCAGAGGATGTTTAGTTGCACAAGAAGGAAAATGACGGGTTCTTTAGAAGAGATTGACGTTTATATTTCTGAGAATACAATTTTCCCAGGAACAAGCCATTAAAAGAATTGCAACAGTATGTCATTTCACTGTTCTTTAAAGAAATGCTTATAAAAAGCAAAAAAGCAGAACACAATACCCTAGTGCACCCCAGTCTGAAAAAATTGAGTAAATTTTAAAAATTTCAAGCATATTAGCAATGTGGCATTGGTTTGATCTGCCATCATTGGCATTTACCCACATTATTGACGAGGTCAACAGAATTCATGGATGCAGATGCCTGGCTTACATTCACTCCCCCAGAACACTGTCTCTTTTGTCAGGAATATGCCTTTCCCCACCTTCATTTTAAAGCTTCGCTCTAATTTGAATAAATATTGAAAGGACTAGTATGGGATCATTTGAGGTCAGTTATATCAATATCTGTCAGGATCCAACAAAGAAGATCTCTTCTCTGAGCAAGAGGGGATCTGGATGGACGAATGTCTCTGCTAAGCAAATCAAACAGAAGTTTATTCACTATATGCTTTCTGAATACACTTTTGTGTAGAATCATTTCTATCTGGCTCTTCTGTAAACAATCCCATGAGATTTAATCATCCCAATCCTTTTTTCTGAGTTACTGTATGAAGTAATGAAATGTCGATATAGACAATCTAACAACCAACGCACCAGGCCTTCTAGATAGGAACATTTATTCCCCACTTCTTTAGCCAAGTGAGGTTGCTGGTAAGCTGTGTCTAGGACGTAGATTCAGAGAATAAATCTCATTATTTACATAGTATACATTTTATTATCATGATATGAAATGTATTATCTATTTTATTTTTACTTTTCAACTCATACTCATAACTTATCTCCGTTAAACAGACAGCACTTTCTCATCCAAAACTCTGTCACTTTTCTTTTTTTGCCACCTTTCCCTAAGATATTTACAGTCAAACAAATCCCAAGCCCAACAAGTAGAGGAAGCTACCTTCCTGTTGAATTTTACAGATGAATTTCAACAGCAAAACAACACACACGTTTGTCATCACTTTGAGGTGTTCTTTTAGAATATCTTTCTGTGTTCTTTCAAAAATGCAGCAGTTCATATCCTAAAGTTGAATTTTTCAAAGTCTTTAATTTTTTTACACTTCCAACGTTTTCAAATAGGGCTTTTAAAGCTGGTTCTCTATTTTCAGGCAGATGAGTGAGCATCACACTTCTAGGAGCGAGCATCAGCAATGTCACCTTTTTTAGTATTCTCATTACAAAGGTAAACTTTATAATGCAGATAGTGATGACAAGCACTACTTCAGAGATTTTGCCTTGATTTTGTCAGCATTAGATGAAAAAGTTCTATATATTTCACACGGAGTTTGCTTCATATGCTTTCAAAAGTTGTATACGATTAAGCCATATGCATTTCTTTATTATGATCAAATAATTTCAGGTCATGTCTCAAGGCCATAAAGGATATTTTGGGGATAGAGAGAAAATATTTTTGTCATTAGAATGACCTTATTTATAAATGAAAATAATGATGGTAATTATTTGACAATAGCCTGAATAAAATTCTAAATCTGTCTTTATATCATTGTCCTAGTCATCTGAGGGGAAAGTAATTCATATGTGAATGAGTCTTTGTCTTTCAATAGAAAAAAAGTATTGCCTGTGTAATATCATTAAAGAAAGGCAAAACAGTCAGTTCTGGTCTGTTCAGAAAAAACAGGGAGATATTTCCGGCAGAAGAGCCTCCTGGTGCGCACTAGACAGAGCAGCGGGCTGTGGGACGCTGCGTCTCTCTCCCACACTGAGACATCCTTCACTGGCCAGCCAGGCACGGCAGCCGCACCTGCTCTAATTGATTAACCCTCGTGGCTGACCCGGAGCCTTGTACAGCCCAGGTTTCAGATTTTCCAGCTGGTTTCACACAGTGGAAATACTAGGAGATGTCACCTTAGAATGCAGCCCTCAAAGCAGCCCTATCTCAAAAAGCACAAAAGATCTAATTGGGAGAGGATTATTGCTTAGCATAACC